AATCAACTGGGCTAGAGATCTGAAAGCAGTTTTTCACTCCAATAGCTGCATTATAGCAGTACGAAGAAAATGTTTTCCAGATCAGATTTCGGTTACATAAAACAAAACCAACAAATTAAACAAAATGTTCAGTGGTCCTTATCACTGAAGAAACATTTTGCAGCATCTCTGACTCAATACCACAAGAGCTGACAGGTCCATTTGGTGAATGTGGGCAACACCTCAACTGAATTATCCCATCCCAGTGCACAGCAAGAAAACTGATGCATCCAGAAAGCCTTCAGTCCTACTCTATGTTGAAAACAGCTGCCAACAGCTCTATAGACCAACACTGGAGGATCAAAATAAGAGCTTCCTGAATCCTTCTCCCCTAATACTCTCCATTACCATTCCACAAGTCCATTTACCACATTTATTAAGTTACGTCCCAATGCTCTCAAAGCTCTTCTTGCTCTTGTCAGCCACTATCAGTCCTTGTAAAGTCGCAGCTCATCCTCCCAGTTTCAGATTGTGTGCTAATTTCCAACACACTCTGCTTCTCTCACCCATTCCAGACTCATCCATAACATTCTTGCTATCCATGCTCAAGTCTCCACCTACACACAGCTTTAGAGACATTACTGAGAGAAGATACCATCAACCACGCATAACAGTGTTATGTTAAAACACTTCAAATACTTGAATTAATTTTTTTGTGTGTGATGCAGAGAGCAAGATGTATGTGCAACTCCTCACCTGGGCTTGATCATATCATGTCTACATTGTTAGAAGACTCACAGAGACTACTTGAGTAGAAGAACGTTGCAAAGTCAAGGCCTAACGTGATATAAAACACAAGGCAAAGGGATGACCACCAAATGCACACTGCTTTTGAACTCTTTGAATAAAGCTAATCAAAGAATCCAGTTAAAAATACAAGTGCATCCAGTTCTGGGATCCCCAATATAAGGAGGACATGGAGCTGTTGGAGCGGGTCCAGAGGAGGCCACAAAGATGATCAGGGGCTGGAGCCGCTCCCCTATGAGGACCGGCTGAGAGAGTTGGGGCTGCTCAGCCTGGAGAAGAGAAGGCTCCAGGGGGACCTTATTGCAGCCTTCCAGTTCCTGAAGGGGTCCTACAGGAAAGCTGGGGAGGGACTTTTTACAAGGGCAGGTAGCGACAGAACGAGGGGAGATTTAGACCAGATATTAGGAAGAAATTCTTTACTGTGAGGGTGGTGAGACACTGGCCCAGGTTGCCCAGGGAAGCTGTGGATGCCCCCTCCCTGGCAGTGTTCAAGGCCAGGTTGGACGGGGCTTGGAGCAGCCTGGGCTGGTGGAGGTGTCCCTGCCCATGGCAGGGGTTGGACTGGATGAACTTTAAGGTCCCTTCCAACCCAAACCATTCTGGGATTCTATGATTCTCTTAGTGTAAGCAGATAAGACACAAACTAACCGAATTCAAAATCTAAAGGTCAGTAGACCAAATTTGATGTCAGTTACTAGGGAGAACAATCTTCTCCTGAAACGCAGTGTCAGACTCAAGATCAGCAGGGGTCCTTCAGCTCTTGCTGCTCCTAACTGCTATGAGGATATCTTTTTGACAAGTCCTCGATTTTTGGATTTGTTCCTCTTCTGTCAGTCACCTCCCATATTTGTTATATTTTCAGGTATAATACACAGCTCTTTATTCCACTCATAAATAAGACTGTCAAACTATGTTAGTCACCCAACCACGGATAAAATACTTTCTTGCTAAAATAAAGAACTTAACATTATTCTTAACACAAGAACTAGCAGTGAAAACAGCTCATAGAGATTAGATGTGGTAAAATAATTTTCACTTTTTTCTATAATGGAATTTGCATAACTATTAAATTTCCATTGCAAAGACCCTGAAACTGTGGCTGTCGGCTCAACCAGGCACTGTTTTGCCATCGTTCAAAGACATGGCTGGGAAGACTGAAAACCATTTCCCACTACCACCAGTACTGAAATATTCAAATGAAAGTCAAATTGGCCTTTATTCCTTAATTTGGCCTTTATTCCTTTCAATAACTTCCACACATTAATGTAGTCAAACATCCCTTGGCAAGTCTTGTTTATGTTTTAAGAGAACAGAGACAAAGGAATTATGTTGTTTCAAGGTTAATGAGCCTGTGGAAGATCGAAGAGCAAATGCTAGATCTCAGTACCAGATCAGCATTAAATGTAACATCATCCTTCTTTCTTCCTGTGAGAAACTTGACAAAGTAACTCTGCTGTAACAACTGAATTAAAAAAGATTAAAAACTAACATCCTACTGTTCCTTTGTGTGTGTGTAAATACATAACAGCTTTGACGGAAAACAACAAATAAAGCTTGCAAAATTACCCATACTAAAAAAATAGAACAAGACACACAGAGTATGTGGCTGAACTAAAAATAACCTCTAAAGACATTTGCTCTGCACCACGTGGAACCCTGCAGAAAGGGAGGTGTAACACCAGACACATCCAGGCTTGAATTCAAAGACATTAATTATCCATTAACACAGAGGGACAAATTAAGGGTCCCATAAAATCTGTTGAGAGGGTGTTCGAATGTCTCTCAACACAGGGAATGTAAAATAAATCAATAAAAGCAACAGCAACTTGATTGAGAAGACCTGACACTTGTGTAAGAGTGGTAGACAGCAGACAAGCTCACTAAACCCAAAAGTTCCCTAAAATGGTTGATAATCTCCATTATATTCTCCAATAATTCTCCATTATATTCTGTATTTTTGGGAAAAAAGGTCAGAAAGTGTTTGTTTTAAATTTGAGTGTCCCCGAGTATAGAAATGTAAGAACTATTAGTAAATATAGTACCAATGCAAACAAATAACAAAAACCATGAAGTACATATTCAAGTGTGTACACACAAATATCAAAACAATGTGAAAGCAACAGGCCTTTGGCTGAGAAGAAACTGCGGTGATAAAATTGCTCTGATCCATACACATCTTTATTGCCCCAGATAAGGCACTGGATTCTGCCTGGAGAGGACTGTGAAGGTCAGCAGGATGTTATGACTCCGAGCACCAACTGGCATTCACTGCCAACAGGGCAGACCGAGAGCACATCGCTGCTTTGTTCCTTGATGTATAAAATCGGCTGCAAACCACAAAGATTATATTGACTACGATACAAATCATAGTTGTTTTATTGCCGTGAAGGTCTGGGAGGGGAAAGACCTGTGGGATCTGAAGTATTTTAATAATGACTGAGGCCTTTTAAATTTGCAGTGCTACAGCTTTTATAAACTCCCGTAACGAATAAGAATCTTTCACTGCAGCAGTGCACAAACATTACAAGGTGATGGACGCCCATTACGAAGAATTTATGGGACTCAGTACCCTAAATGGATGAGGACTAATCATTTTAATGACTACCTAAGAGCTCCAGAGATAAAGCTGCTCTCAGCAGATACATTTCAGCACACACGGCCAAGTGAATTTCTTAAAGGATCTGCGATGCATCTCCTTCGTGGATGAGTGGATCAGCTGATCTGAAATCCTGTTACCCTCCTTACATTACATCTTACAGCAGATTTTGTCTTAACTGATGGGTAGGATCTGCTTGTAAAGACACTACCACATCATCATGGTGAAGGAAACAGTAAACAGCTGAGCCCTGACAGCACTCACTCCTTGTTTGAAAGGTGAGAAAAATTTCAAAGACACATTGTGACCAATTCGAAAACTGCTGCTTTTCAAAATCACTGGAAGGATCCCATGACATCTGACATGAACTGCATCCAAACATGAAAGAAGATGCAGTTAACCTCCAAGGAAAAAGACAAAAATCTATTGCCTTACTATCCTGGTAGGGCAGATGTGTATCTTAAAATAAGTTGTTAAATTAAGAACATACTGATATTTGCATTTTTATCAGGTGCTCGAGGCCCCTGAATTAAAGTAATGGAAGGCATTCAGAAATTCATTTTATCTTTCTACAATGGAATCAATTTACTGGCTATTCATTTGTTTAAGTATTATAAATAACATAAATATAATTTATAAATATAGAAAAAGATT